TTATGTACAACGCCAAACAATCAGTTTTATATTTGTTGCTGAGTTTTCCGCTTGATTATGGCCAAAGTTAAAGCGGTTTACAGCTGTTAAGTGTCGCCAACTCTTGTCGCCTTTTTAACTGTTTTAATACCCTGCACCTATTCGATATGCCTAAAGAGGGTGTATTGTTTTTCTGCAAGCAGAGGGAGCCCAACTTTATGGAGCATATATAATCTTGATCAAGATGTTGAGTTCAGTCCATCTGTCTGTCTAGATATTGGAAATGCTAAATATATATTCTCGTATACCCTACGTATTCATATTTTGATATTTTCTCGAACTATATTTTATACAGATTACAAATATATCAGTTTTTAGATAACTTCCTTTAATACCTTTATATATGCTTTTGTGTGCCATGCTTAAGCCTTAAAGAAAAAAGATCGGACCATAAACATCGATTTTGCCAGCAGCTGGGCTTAGGGTATTTCTCTAGTCGTGCACTCCCCACATAGAGCACTCTTACTTGCTTTAAATGCTTTTTCGTTGCAGTTGTTAAGTTTGACAAAAAAACAAAATTTGTAAACTGGTTTGCGGCGAGGCTTGCGCGCAAATGACCCCCGAGTGGCTAGTTTCAGAAAAACCGAAAACCGAAAACAGCTCATAAAAATGATTTAACTCGACTTAAATCGAGCGCGACGCATTCGGCAGCCTCTCAATGAGAAGACTTGCTTGCCCTTTGTTGCAGTCCATAAGGGCTTCAGTTTTGCATAAATATAATAGAAATACACTTACGTGTACGGGTCTCTTAAGAAATTTAATTCATTTGAAGCAGTTCCCACGAATGCTGCGAACAATGGCATCTTAAGTCAAAAAGGCGCTTCAAGCTATTTTAGCCCTTAAACTAAACATAAAGAAATTAAATTAAGATTCAATTTTAATATCAACTCTCAGTTTTGTATTCACTAACAATGCTTAAAACGGGCTTAATTAAGTTGTGCATTCATGACGAACGCCCTTCTATGCGATTTTCATAGCTTCAAGTAAGGCCTCCACATTTTACGCTTTTGTTAGTTATATTTTTGGCGTTTCGTTTTTGTTTTACTCTGTTTTTTGTGATACTACTGTCTCTTAGCTCTAAGTCTTTCTCTCTTTTTCTCTCTCGTTCTCTCTCTCTCGTTCTCTTGCTCTCTGGCCCTCTCTCTCTCTTACAATGCTCCCTTTAACCCGTCGCTCTTTTTATATTATAAATACAGCCTCTCTATGCGATTTTCACGAGTTAAGATAAGGCCTTGGTGTTTTCACAGATCGTTGTTAATATAAAGGTGACTTGTTTTTTGTCTCCCTCGCTCTCCCCCATCTTTTGGCTCTTTCTCTTTTTGCCGTTGGCCCAATTCTGGAGGCCTGCACTTACAGGCTAACCCCAAGTCGACTATTCCACTTTTAAATTTCCCTTTTGCCCTATCGGTATCAAGCATATAAACATTTTTCTAGCCACAACAATAATAATTAATCAGAAATAATTATCATATCTAAAGGTTGCGCTGGTGAAAAATTGATACAATTCCAGATGAAACGGAAACGTGAACCGAGCCATTTATTAACTCAGATGCTGCAGTCCATTAAGACAGCGCCCACACACACACACACACGCACACCCGCACACACACCCGCACAACCGCCGGTTCACCTTTTGGCCTGGCGCTGACTCAGAAAAATGCGTCTTCGAGTCTCATCAATTTCTGCCTCGACGTTCAATAAAACTAAATCGTAAATCAATAAGCTGCACTCAGAGTTCAGACCCAAAAAAAAAAATAAAACAGAACTTCGGCTCTTTCTTCGACTTTCGAGGGAGCAAGAGTAAGAGGAAGAGAAAGAGAAGCCAAGTTTGGTCCGTTTGCGTTTTCTTGTACAAGTTTTAAATTTTATTTTTGATTAATTGGCCTGCAATACAATTTCATGTGAAATATTCAATTTTGATTGATGTTTTTATAATTTTACTTGCCCAAAAGCTGTCCCAAAAAAATTGGACACTTTAGCCTGAGCACAGCAGCTGCTTATATAAACATGCTGTGCGCGGCAGTGCTCGACTAGGCGATACCCTATATAGTCAGCAACTAGCTGATCTCAGAGACATTTAAGCTTCTTCCTGCTGCGGCTGCACTTCTTTTATATGGCAAATGCATGCTTGAGGAACTTCGGTGCTTATTGTCCGATCTTAAGGCATACAAATATGTGTGTTTACCAAAGCGCAAGGCTTTAGCTTATCTAGGCTTTACTTTACCATTTTTGGGGCAAATGGGCTTCGATATTAAATTCTTGGGAAAGACTACAAACCAATATTCCTGCATCTAGAAGAGTTTTAATTTGTATGAGGGAAGTGGAAGCAGATATTCCCAAAAACCTTATAAACATATTCGCCTCTCTTTTTGTATATACTTATCTCCTTCTCTCTCTCATTTACTATCTCTTTCGCTCATTCTCTTATTCTCTCACTTACCCCAAGAAGAAGATATTCACAAAAACTTAAAAACTTATTCCACGTCTGATACATAAGAATATATCGTCTAACTCTTAAGTCTCTTATCTAAATCCGACCACAATCTATATACTTTATAGGCTTGTAGCTGCTTCCTTACACCTGCTACATACATTTCCTGCTAAACAATATGCCCATTTTTAGCCCTTTTCAATGGGCATAAATACACTCAACCAGCAGCAGCAGCAACAGCTCTCGTTGTGGCACATTGTCTCGCTTAGTTTCGACTCAGGTTTTCTTCAGGTGTTTGCGGAGGGTGAGGGGGGTGGGAGTAGGGGTCTTTAGTCAAAGCCACAGGTGTTCGGGCGTTGGAACAATTAAAAATTCAAATTTAATTTTAGTCTAAACGTTTCTAAACAAAGCCAATGAAGCCATTCGGCCAGACAAAGTCTGGTCGCAGCAGGCAGTCGCCGGATCCGGCAAAGATTTATGCAGCCCGTCGGAATGGGAACGCATCCAGCATGCGAGACGCGGCCAGGGGGCAGGGGGCAGGGGGCAGGGGTCAGAAGGAGGTTGGCACAGTTTCTTCTTGGAACGAAAACTTCCGCATTTTGTTGCTGTTGCTGGCGCCCTTAATTCTGCCTGCACCATGTTGTTGCATAAATAACGTGAGAATTATGGCGGCAAGCAGGCAGCACATAAATATGCATGTGCAGCAAATAAAGAAATTGTTAAATGTCCCAAGTGGCCGAGGACCGAGGACGGAGGACTGAGCTTTTATATGGCCCAAGTCAGCTCGCAAATTTTGGTGTGCGCAACGGTTCACGTCCAGCTGCAGGCACCGGCTACCAGATCAGGCTCTCAGCTCCCAGCTCCGGCTCTCAGCTCCAACTTGATCTCCAACTGCAGCCGGTAGTCAAGAGTCAGTCAGTCAGTCAGTCGTTGACCACGTCACGCGCCTGCAATTGTTTGGCTTTGGCCCGCATTGCCAATTACGACACCAGCAGCAGCAACTGCCCCTCCCCCTCGCTCCTCGCTCCGTTCCGCCCCTCGCTCCAGCTACTTGCAATTTATGGCCAGTTTGCTTCTTTTATTGTCTTGACTTTTTGGCAGTTCGAAAATCGAAATATGGTATAGCCAAAAAAAAAGAGCAGAAGAAAAAACAAATTCAAAAACCGCTTATTATCAGCATTTATGTGTTGGCCCGCCTGCGGCCAAAAAGGTCTTGTGTTGTGTTAACAGATTTACAGTTTGACAGCCAGCGCAAATAAAAAAATTATATTTACACTTGTAATATTACTTTGCTAAGTTTATGGCATAGATAAGCTTCCACTACAGTTAGCTGTTTCTAGCTGGTTTCTAGCTGTTCTTATAGACAAACAGTTTGACAACCATCGCAAAATATTCACACACACATTTGAGCGTTAAACTGAAATACTTCTAGTATTTCATATAGCATAAAGCATAAAGTTTATGGAAGCTTAATTAGGTTCTACTAAATTTAGCTGTTTCTAGCTCGTTTCTAGCTGTCCGTATATATATATACAGTTTGACAGTGACTGTTTATAGGGTATAGTGTAGCATTAGCTTGCCAGCTTTGCTAACTTTTTATATAGGTTTTAGATACATTGGGCTCTGCTACTGCAAGCTGTGATACCTAGCTGGCCTTATAGACATACAGTTTTACAGTCACTGCTATAAAAATAATAATATATTTTAGATTGAAATACTTGCAGCTTTACAGTACATTCTACAGCGATCAACTGTGGCTTCTAGTTGCTAGGCACACAGTTTGAGAGTCACTGTTAAAAAACATTATTCCAACATTTTCCGATAGATCAACAGCAAAAATGAACAATATACTTGTGAACTGCTAGCTTTGCCTAATTTTTAGTAAGCGTTGTCCTCTTGGGTGGTCCTTACGGTTATACAGTTTGACAGTCACTGTGGTAAAAATAATTTGCGCTACAAACTCTTATAAAATGCCAACTTTGCTAACTTTCTAGCAGACACTGTGGTATCTGCTTGTGCGCAGAGTTATACAGTTTGACAGTCATGCATGTTTCATATATTTGACAGTTTGACAGTCACAGTGAAAAAGAAGCAAAGCTAGCAAAGTCAAGTATGTCGACTCATGTAGCGATAAAATTCATAAAATATTGTCCTTTTTTTATTTGAATTCGATATTCAAATTAGTTAACTAGAAGTTAGTAAAGCTTGCTAAGTTAGCAGCTTGTGTTAAGCGAAATAATTTACTGGCTGATAAAAATATAATGTGCCCAATTGAATGCCGTGTCGCAAATTGTATTTCGCTTAGAAAAGTGTCAAGTTTTCATCGCTGATTTGAAGACAGAGCGAGAGGGAGAGACAGAGAGAGAGAGGGAGAACAAGATTTGATGACAGTCGGTTTGACATTTGTCCAGTTGGAGTCTTGGCGACAGATGCGACTGGGCCAACCTGTTGGCCAGTTGGCCAGTTTGTTATGACAGTAATTGGCCCGAAGTCTGGCTCGTTTTACAGTTTTCAATTTCACTTTTTGCAGGCGACACATTTGCGTGCAGCAGCGCACAATCACGATGCCGGTGAAGACAACGGAGGTGTACACGCGACCCACCTGGAAGCACGTGAGCGTGCCCTGTCCGCCGCCCACGCACGCCGGCCAGATGTGCACGCGGGTGCAGCTGGTGCACGAGCAGGCCTACCGGGACGTCATCAAGCACAAGCCGGCGCAGCAGATGACCTACGATTGCTGCACGGGCTGGACGCGGGAGCACCAACGCGCGGATGCGTGCATGAAACGTAAGTGGAAGCCCGATCTCTGGGCTTAACTGTCAACTGCTTGACTAATCCACCCTTTGATTGCAGCCCTTTGCAGCACGCGCTGCCAGAACGGCGGCAATTGCACGGCGCCGCAGCTGTGCAGCTGTCCGGCGGGCTTTGGCGGCAGATACTGCGAGCAGGATGTGAACGAGTGCCAGACGGAGAAGCCCTGCGATCAGCAGTGCATCAATACGCCGGGCTCCTACTATTGTCGCTGCCGACAGGGCTTCGTTCTGCAGGCGGATCAGCAGAGCTGTCGCAAGAGCTCAACCCATGCGGATGATGCGTTCGAGGCGCGAGATCTGGAGAACGACATCGATGAGACGGACGCGGCGGTGGTCACACGGCTGCAGAAGATCGAACGCTCGCTGGCCAACGAGCGAGTGCACACGAACGAGCTGCAAAAGTCGCTGCAGGCCACCTACAGCGTCGTGGACACACTGCGCAGCAGGCTCAGCACACTGGCAAGTGTCCAAATACCCTTCCAATTGGCAAACATATAATATCCGACTCTTCTTTATTGCAGGAGAAGCAGGCGCTGGATGTGAACCGCATGCAGACGAATCTCTACAAGACAGAGTCGCGCACCAACAAGCTGGAGAGCATGCTCAATTTGCTGATGAAGTGCCGAAGTGGCCCCAACGCGGATTGCCCCTAATTTAACGAGGGGGAGCGTGGGGCCAGCGCGCCAATACAGAACTGCATTTTATTACGCTCTAGAAATTAAAATGGTTTAGTTTAAGCTAAAGAAACTTATCTATATTCGTTTGTGTAACTGTAGCCCATCCCGCTTGTAAGCCATTCCCGAACGCAAGTGCCTCCGTAGTTTATAAAAAGAAAAAGAAAAAGAAAAAGAAAATATGTAGTACTTAAGCGCACGTGTCATAAATGTATGTATTAAAATCCAATGCTCTAGTTGTAATCTGCTATGTGTCTAGTATTTGTATATAATTAAATATATATGTATCTGTCTATATATATAAGAGTGTGGCGCTAGATACATTATCGTATTCGCCACATTTTGAATTTGGCGCGCTAGTCTACAGAGTAGTTAACAGTATAGCGCAGTTAACAGCACAGCGCAATTTAACAGTACAGCGCAGTTAACAGCACAGCGCAATTTAACAGTACAGCGCAGCTAACAGTGCCATGTGAGCGCACAGAGCATTTAACAGTGCAGCATTTCAATGTGAGCGCAGTCAGTTGAGAGCAGTTGGCAGCCCCAGTTGGCAATCATAGTGCGCGGCGCAATGAGGTAGCGCAGTAAGTTGATGCGTGCATTAAAGTAACTAAACACGTAACAATTATTTAAATAACTAGAACGTGCACATTTATAATGTTTTATAAACAAATCATTAGGTAGTTATTGCTAAATACATGCCAATAATGGATATTAGTATATGTGAGGTCACTTGTGTGTAGAGAAATGCGCACAAGCGTTACCCGCATTTTTGCACTTTGCGAGTGAATTATCAAATACGAAAACAGCTGAAAATTTAATTGAACCAAAACAAAAGAAAGTGTAATCAGTGTGAAACGCAATTTAAAAAATGCATTACTAATATTTGCTGTGCACAAATGAAGCTGCGTAGCAAGTAAACAATTCATAAAACCACAAAGCACATATCGAGCAGTTCCTCGTGTGGTTGGATGTGGGTATCGCCCGCCCGCAGCACTCCATTGAGAAATTAATTAATAAACAAAAGCCCCGATCAGTGCAAAGTGCAAAGATGACGGAGGATACGAAGCTGGCGCTGCGGCAGGCCGAGGTGTCGGTGCAGCGTTTCCGGGACATGGCCGTGCCGCATCAGCTGAGCCTGCTGGAGAATCATCGCAGCAACATTGAGAAGAGCCTGGCCCTCTGCGACTGGCAGAAGATCAAGAAGGAGGAGCTGAATGCGCTGCGTGTCATCAAACAGATGAAGAATCTGCTGCTGGAGATGGATGCGCTGCGCGACAAGCTGCAGCCGGAGGATCAGGCGCGTTTCGATGAGCTGATGAAGCCGGGCAAGGACAAGGCCTTCGAGGGCATGAGAAGATTTGCAGGTAAGTCCGCTCAAGTCTAGTCCTTACTGTGTAGTCTAAAGAATGCCATGTAGAACTGCAGCTAAAGTCGCCCAGCTCGGCGCGTGCCTCGCACTACGACGAGGATCAGGACAATCCGGCCGTGGTGGACATTGAGCAGGTGCCCGCGCTGCAGCACACGCTGCCGCAGCTGCAGACGAACTTCCAGCTGGAGCAGCATCAGCTGGCGCAGAGGCAGGCGTGCCTGGACCAAATGGAGCGACTGCAGAACGAAATCCACGATCTGCACGGCATGTTCCACGGCCTGCGCCAGCTAACCCAGGAGCAGGCGGTCAGCGTGCAGTCCATTGCGGACAATGCCGAGGAGGCGCTCGAGAATGTCCAAGCGGGCGAGGGCCATCTGCGCAACGCACTCAAGTACAAGAAGGCCATGTATCCGATGGTCGGCGCACTGCTGGGCACCTGCGTGGGCGGACCCATTGGCCTGGTGGCGGGCATGAAAGCCGGCGGCCTGGCCGCCGTTGGCTGCGGCTTGCTCGGCTTCACGGGCGGCTCCGTGCTAAAAAGCAATCCCAATGTGCTGCAGGGCAACATTGAGGAGCAGCAGGAACTAGCTGGCGATTCCAACGAAACCCTGCAGCTGGCCGAGAAGTCGGAATGACCTCGCGCCCTGGCCACGGCGCACATGTGGACGGCGAATCAGCGTCGCCTGGAGGCGGCTACCACGGGCGTCATCTGCAGCGTGCGCAGCTATTGCGCCCTGCAGTAGGGCTTAGGGCAGGGCCTGCTGATCGAAGATTGATCTAGGAGTGTCTCGGTTTGTTGAAAGTCGTGTGTCCAGCTGTTGATGCAGCAGACGCTTCGAATTTGCATTTCTCCAAATCATTTTCGCACAATCTTTAGCCCATTCTTAGATTAGCTTAAGCGTTGTTTAATATTTGTTGTTTTCGCCAAGGCAGTTACCAAGTAGCTTTTATCTATACAAAACTCTTTGTCTCGACTCGACTGACTGACTGATTGATTGACTGACTGACTGACTGATTGAATGTTCCCCTTTACTGTAGTTACCTTATGTCCTCCTAGCCTAAGCACATGCTCCCAAATTCATTTGCGAGGCGTTTTGTCAATGCAATTCCCTTTGGTGGAAGTGAGGCTCAAAGCTTTGATGGGCTTAGTTTCTCGAATCAAACTCATTTTCCAAAGATCTTTATAAAAATTCATGCTTGAGCCGTGATGCACGCAAAATAACTCCAAAGTTTCTTTGGGCAAAGTTTCAAATTTCCACCTCGAACTTATTTTAAACAGCTTCCACAAAAAAAAATGTGTCGCCCCTTTCTGCACTTTGAGCCGCCAGCGTGTAAGCAGCTAAATATACAGCTCCTGCACATTGTTCTTTGCCAATCTATCGACTAATATATAAATATATATACTATATATGTAAAGTATCTACAAATTTGACCTAAGTTTTAGGATTTTGTGTATAATTTTAAGGCTTTAATGTGCAATACAAACTCATATTGCTAACGGTTAAGTGTTGCTTGGAGTCTTCTTAAACTATGCATATATGCTTAACAACTAGGCGTGGGCGTGGCAGCTGGGCGTTGACGTTCCTCTAGAGCGGCACGTTGACCGTGGTCCAGGCCTGCTTGAAGTTCTTCTTTTGGGCGTGCTGCTTCTTGCGTAGACGTTTGGCGGTCTTCTTCTTTTTGAACCACGCCGGATAGTTGCCGAACTGATCTTTGAGGGTTTTGCTGTTGTAGACGTGCTCCACGCCCGTCTTCTCGTTGACCTGTGGAATCGGTTTGCCCTTCTCCAGGCTCTCCTGATGCTCGTAGATCAGCTCCTGCTGCTCTTTGGATTTGGCTGCCTGTGTTGTTGTGATTTTAGTGGATATGTTGCTAAATAATGCTCTACTACTTCCACACTCACCCGCTTAATCTCCTTGGAGGTCTTGATGTCGGCCACTTCGCCAATTTCCATTTTGATCTCCTTGCCGTCGGCGTCCAAGAGGCCCAGCGTCTTCTTCAGGCGTATTAGCTCCTTGGCATCGTAGCGGTCTTTCTTGATTTTGTTCATTTCATCGCGGCGTTTCCGCGACCGATTTGAGCGACCCATTTCGCTATATAATCTGGATCAGATGGATATATTTAATTTGCGTTGCAAATATGTCAACACGTGCAACTGCTGACGATAGCGCGATAAATATCGATAACATCGATGTTAGCTGCAGCCAACTTCACGCCACGCAAATTTACGTTAACAAACGCACAACTGAGCTAACGAGTCGTGCTATCTCTCTGACTCAAATGTGCGCAGGTTTTAAATCAAGAACGACTGTTAAGTTCAAAGTTAACAGAGTTTATAAAAATAAGCTGGAAAGCCAATTTGAATGTAAAATCTACAAAAACTGCAGTCCCTAATCCAAATCATAATCTCTGTTGGCAAGCTAAAGAGCGTTTAAAATTTAGGAGGAATATTACTTAAGGCTTAGCTTTCGAAACCAACACTTTTCGCCCTTTTAAAAATGATTGTTTCATAATTTTTTGCTTATATACCCTCCTGTCGTAATAATATTGGTCTGCACAAAACCAGTTTCTCACTCTCATTCTCGCTCATGGATGCAATATGATTTTTGTGTACAAACAAAAGTCAGCTGCTAATGCTGCCTGCTGCGAGAGAGCAGCCCGACGGAGAGAGCGCTAGAGCGAGAGAGCAGAAGAGAACACAATTTCCGTTTATTTGAGTGGCAAAACGAAGACGCAATACCCTTAGTTATAAGCAAAATCGAATGTATATCGAATGTATTTGAAATGAATGTGATTTGGGAAAATTGTTGGAATTTTATTTGGAAATTTTTAATGGAATTCGATCTGAATATCATTTAATTTGTGTACACAAGTACATTTTATGTATAAACAAGCATGATTTATTTGAAGACGAGAAGAGAAGATACTTTTCTACTCTAATGGAGAGCAATATAAATATGTCATGAAATTTGTAACGTCTACATAGAGACAACTCCGACTCTGTAAAGTGTATATATTCTTGAGCCGAGTCATATTTGTCATCAAAATTAGAATAATGTATCATATAGTACCTATTGCAATCTGTACAAAACTCAGTTTTTGTTTGGGAAACAGTTCCACTTTTCCAGATATCTTTATCCAACACATAATAGAAAAAACGACGAAAATAGTAGTTTCTTCTGTTAATCTTCTAATTGAAAAAACGCTTGGCTAATGTAATGATATACAATATATTATGGCTATTTTTCGATCTATGAATCAATATTCTATTTGGGCAATATAAATAGGCTCAACATTCTTGGGCTAGGGTATACGCAGTCGTGAGTACCCTTCGCGCACAGGCGCAGCAGCGTTTGTTGTGCAGTGGCAGCCAAAACAGGGTAACTGTGTCGAGCCCAGCTGTAAAGGCACCAACACCAACAGCCAGCCAGTTAGCAGTCCAGGTGGAGACCTCTGGATTTGGCTTCATTCGCTCGCCGTCAGTCGTCGTTAGCTAACGTCACGGAGTTTGTGTTGTTCGTCTTGCTTCTACTTCACTTAAAACTCAACCCCCACCCAAAAAAAAAAAAAAACAAATCCACGCTCAGATACATTCTGCACAACAAACTAAAAACTCATCAAAAATTGATTTCAGCTACAAATTGTGAATAATACTTATTCCAAAAAGTGAATATATGTACGTTGTGTGCGCAGCCAAAGGCCTTCAATTGCAGCGCATCGATCAATAAAGCAGCAGGCAGCAAGTAAGTTTACAGTTAACCCCCCCCCACCACAACAGCAAAGTCACAAATACAAACACACGAAAAAGTCAACGGTAAAAGCAAAGGCGAATGCAAAGGCAAAGGCAAAGGCAGACGCAAAGGCAAAGCAAAAGCTTTGCGGAAGTCAACATAAAAATGGCATGCAAGCAGCAGAAGAGGAAGAGCGCGTTTCTTAGTAAATTTACATGCACACACACAAGCGCACATGTGCACATATACATGCACGCACACATGCATGCATATATGTATATGTACATATTTATTACAAATCTGTTTCGAGCGCGATTTACATAGAAAAAGTGCAGCCAAGCGCTAAATAAAAAAACAAAGTAAAGAAAATACAACAAAAATTCTGATTGCAGAGTTCACACGCTGTGTGTGTGTGTGTGTTTGTGTATGTTTACTTGTGTGCGTGTGTGTGTGTGTGCCTCTCTGTCTGACCTGTGCGCAAACGTTCGCAGAACTTGTCCAGCCTGTCAGCAAAAGTTCTGTGTATGCGTTTCATACCCTAAGCCAGGGCATATCTTTGCCTGCGAATCTTTCGACTCGACTCGAATCTTGTTTTAGTTGGTTTTTTTTTTTTGTCAAGGCATTTTTTTTGTATTTCGATTGGCCATAAATTAGAGGCGCATCACGTTTTTCCCGCTTTTCACCCAGATTGTTATCAGCTTTTCGGGAAATCAACTGTGTGAACCCTGACCCCATCCCATCTGGAGGTCAACTTTTGGCCTGCTGACAAATTGCATTTAAGTTTTTGTTTCCATCTTGGCTTAATTAACCTTTTCATGCGTTTCCTGCAAAACTGTAGAAACTGTGAAATTAATGAACACATCCAAAAAAACGACCTGTCACCTGTTTTCTATTTATTTCATTTTTTTTTTTACATATTTTTACGCTTTAAGCATTTTTCTGTTGGACGAAAGCCAAGGTAAAGACAAGAATTTGTACATGATTTGTGTGCGTGTGTGTGTGTGTGTGTGCGTGTGTGTGTGTGTGTGTGTGTGTGTGTGTGTGTGTGTGTGTGTGTGTGTGTGTGTGTGTGTGTGTGTGTGTGTCGGTCGTAAATAAAATAAATGCCTAAGAGCCTCAAAAGGCAGCGTCGGCTGTCTAAAAACCGCAAAAAAAAAAACAAAAACAAAACTACAAAAAGAAATTATTGAAGCAACCTTTTTTTATTTTGTTTTTTTTTTTTTTTTTTTGCTTGACGAGGGTACAAACAATGCTGGCAGTACCAGGGCCCAGCAATGGGCAATACGAAGACAAGTTAACATACTGCAGTCGGGTATTACCGACTGCGTGATACTCGTTTACAGTTAAAAGAAATAATTCCAGAAATGCCTCACTACGAAAATTGTCTTCCAAATGCCTTAAATAAATAAAAAGGAATATGTTTTTTTTTAATGGAAATTTTTCTAATACCAAAATGAATCCAAGATAAAGAAGATTGCATTCAAAAAGTACACTAGTCACACACATTTTACTGGAGAAAGATAGAAAAAGATAAAAAAAAGTTCGCTTTTGAAATATCATAGCTTGACGCTTGCAATTCTCAACTAGTTAAGGCTGTGGGAAGCTGATAACGCCTCAAGCTGTTAGCAAAGTCTGCTTTGGATTGAACTGCGTGCTTCTTCACATTTTGGCCAAGGCAAAAGCAAACCTATATACCCTTTATAGATTGTGAACGAGTATGGAAACCCAATCACAGGTCCCTGTCGAGGTGAATCATGCAGCAAAAGTGCACAATAAGCATCAGAACAGGTCTTGCAGGCACGTCTCATTGTTTTTGTCTTGCTCTGCTTCTTATTTTTTTTTCGATGGTTTTTGGATGATATTCCACTGGGCATCGGCTGCTTGAGGCTAGAGCGAGTCGACAATAAATCAAGTCTGGCAAAAAACATAAACAGCGAACAGCTGATGTGGCCCAGCGGCAGTGTGTGTGTGTGTGTGTGTGTGTGTGTATCTGTGTGTATGATTCGAGTCGATTCGAGTACTCGTTTGTATCTGCCAGCTAGATTTTGGCGTGGTCGAGCCAGGCACGACTTGGACTTGAACTAACGAGCCGCAGTCGCAGTTGCAGCCGAATCTGGCTCTGGGCATCGCTGCAGCTCGTTAATTGGCTAACAAAAAGGGTAACAGCAAATGCAAATACACTCAGAGAAATTAACAAGAAGTTGACATTAATGTTAAATGTTTTGACATTGAGATTGATTCATACTTGATTTGGGCATATTTTACAGCACAATTGACTTGAATTTTTTGAGAAACAAAATAACCTTATTTTAAATTTAACATTAATGTTAAATGTTGACATTGAGATTGATTCATACTTGATTTGGGCACATTTTACAGCACAATTGACTTGCATTTTGAAAGAAAAGCCTCTTTTTCGAACTTTAAATGCAGGCTTTCTGTCGAGTGTAGCTTTTGGCTAGTTTTTCCAATTCCTTTGTAAATGATTTTTAAACCCGTCTTTGCCTTATATGGACTACGGTCGCCCAGTCGTGCCGCGATTAGACCCTTGGGCTTGACATAGAAAGTCAGCTACAAACAATTAAGTCATCATTAGGGCGCATTAGTTGCTTTCATTAGCGCAGTTGCCACTGACGCGGCAGTTTGGCCATCTTACCTGTACGGGTCGAACAACCGCAACAACAACAGCATGACAGGTAGCTCCTGCCCGGGCGGCTTTGTGTCAGCTAATCGCAAAATGGCACGCATTGCGGGCCGACCCTTTGCCCCTGTGTAATACACCAACAATTATTCGAAAGTTAGTCAGCGACTTTTGATGCCCTGCTTACAAAGTGGCTAAAAGGGTATATTGGCTTTTAGCATTGCTTGGCTTTTCAACTCCATTTGGGGCTCAAGACTCTTAGTTAAGTAAATAAATATGCCTTAGACTATGTTATGGGCAACCTGTCAACATTTTGAAAGTCCCTCGCTTCGCATTACAGTTTTAGAGTCATCAACGAAGCAGAACATAGGGCCGTAAGTACGTATATTCCACAGTTTGAAAGTCATAGTCAAAATTTAGATTTGATTTTAGATGATTTTTGATGTTTTTTTCCTTACAGATCGAGCCAAAGAGGTTCTTCACGCTCACTATTTCCTTATGGCACAGTTTGGCAGTCACTGCCTTCGAATTACAGTTTGAGAGTCATCATTGGAAAAACTGTGAATAGAGTATGTTAGAGTTGGAATATGCAGTCAATTGCAATAGTTTTTACTTATTGTATCTGTATAATGTATCTGTAATAGTGCGTATCTGTCAGCTACACACACAGCCACACACGCACACACACGCACAACAAACAAAGGCATCAAGTGCTCTGTTTTGGGTTTCGTTTGCCTTTTTGTTGCTGCCCGGCAGCAGGCAGATCCTTCTTCTCAGCCAATTTGTTGGCTTATTTATGACATCAACAACAAAGGCTGAACGAAAGTGAATTTTCGTCAGCGCAGCGGGAAAAACCGAACCCGTATCTGTCATAGATACCTCTAGAGCTCAAATGTCAACTTCTTTATGACGTCACAACTTCACATATCAGCGCAGGGTGGGACCTGCGCCCAGGTAGGCCCCTTTGGCTGCAATTGACATACGCTAACTGCGCAGCGCTAAGCCGCCCTTTCTCTGCCCTTCCCCCACCTGAGCATAATAGGGTTTATTCATGCATATTTTGCGTAGCTGACGTGTCTATTTCCAGCTGGCTTTGATGCGAATTTGCAGCGTATCGATTGCCAAAACGAAAGCCTACTCCGATTTAAGCATCCAAAATAAAACAGCCTACAAATAGCTAAGGTGACCCCGTCCGAGGAGAGAGGCCAAGCGGAAGTTGTTACTTTACACACACACAGATACACACACACAGATACACATAATTGCAGTGAAAACTCATTGTATATATATATCTACTTTGTGTTTTCTATATATACCTTTATAGATATGCGTGTGTGTGCAGAAAGTTGAGCACTGCGCAGGTCAAACACAGCAACTGGCAATTTGTTTGTAAACAAAATGCCAATGCGCTAACAGAGGGTGGTTAGAGAAAGGAAGAGAGCGGAGAGAGAGAGAGGGAGAGAGAGAGAGTGACCGTGAACGGAGAAATGGGTAATGGGGTTGGTAAGCGTGTTGGGCGACACGCTCTCGCTGCGTGATTCTAGCAAAAGGCTGCAACAACAACAACGACAACAACAACAACAACAACAACAACAACGACAACAACAACAAGAACAACAACAACAGCGACAACAACAACAACAACATGAGCAGAACCCAGTAACCAACTGCGGCATGAAAAATTTTTAGCCCTGCAATTGTTACAGCTTACAGCTCAGGGACAGGGGTCAAGGAGCAGGTACTATAGAGTGGGAGGGGGGGGGGGTAGGAGCGGAGGTCGAGGGGCAGCTGGCTTGAAAGGGGTAGGAGCGAGGCTCGAGGAGCTGTTACCTTGGCAATTGATAATAGTGGAGGTCGCCAGCTCCGCGATATAATATTGATCCAAAACATATATAGAAAATTATAATACAAATCCTAATAATTATTATTCCATCTAAGTTTCAATTTCTTGATATATCATTTTATTCCTTGACAGTTTCTAAGTTTAGGGTTCAAATTTTGCTACATTTCGCGTAAGCCTTAGATTTCATATAGATATTTGAGTTAGCTTCAGATAGCTTTAGGCTATCTAATGTTTTTTCTGGGCAGATTTTTAAGTGGGGCAATGAGCTATACGTTTAGGTTTCGAAGCCTCAGAAAGGCGGGACTCGTGGAACCGAGCTAATTGTTCCATAATAATCCTAGTAACTGCTGCACAAAGGCAATTCATCTACGGATATAACCTATATGTGAATATATTCTAAATCGTGGTATATTTACTAGGAAATATATATCCTATATTTATACAGTAGTATATGTACTAGGAGGGCATTGCTCGTGGGGCCTTTAATTGGCAGCCAAATGAACTACGTCGCCTGAATATGTCTTCTTTGCTTTCGTCACGATGCCGCTGCCTCAGTCGCTGCCTCAGTCGCAGTCGCAGTCTATGTCGCACACCCTGATGTAATCGGCTTGATTGATTGGCAATGTTTGCCATAGATTGACGACTGACCTACTGGCCGAACCCCATAGCATAGACATGGACATGGACTTGGACATAAAAATGCGCAAATATGCAGAGAGCACTCGCTTTTTGGGGCTGATAAACAAAGTGATAAAATAAATGCGACGCTCAGACAAGAAAAAAACAAAGAAAGAAGAGGAATTGCCTAAAAATATCAAATGCGACGCATTATCAATTGAAATTACGCAAATAATTTGTTATTCAATAAAAAACGCATTTAAATGCCAGTTATTAGACTGTAAAGCCAGACAGTTGCACACATAAGAATCTGAACACACACACACACACACACACACACACACACACATATATATATATATAACACACATCCCAGTATATACTTCTATATAATGCCTGCATTCGAAACCTGCCTGGGAGCATTTATCTGTGATCACCTGATAAGCCCGAGCGCACAAAGAACCTGCCAAAGGCTTGCCCCGCACACACGCACACACACACACAGTTCAGAATTCGTAATACTCAATCTGGGAACAAGTGTCGGACATGGACGGAGACATCAAAGGTGGCGCAATGCTTGCGTCATGCCCAGGCGAAAGCTTTGCAATTGAATTGGATTTTACGAGCAGTAATAACCCCAGTATGTGTGTGTGTGTGTGTATGTGTGTGTAGAAAGTGAATCGATACTATTAAATCTTAAGTATGTTTACAATACCCTATGCGCAGTGGGACTGTAGGAATATATAGCACAACTGCTGTACATCAAATTTAAGGGGTATTCAATCAATCGCTCAATCAATACTTCAATCGTTTTCGTACAGATTGAAAACCCTTTCAATATTACTCAGAGCTGATGTACAACTGATTGATTGCACTTTGAAGCATATATCAGATGTAGGCAGGCTGTTCAATCTTCTGCTCTATACATAATTGTCATTCATTCATATGTAAACAGGCTGTTCAATCTTCTTCTCTATACATAATTGTCATGCATTTGCTGTATTCAATCTTTTCTTTACTCTCCCAAAGTTGCCTTACATCTGCTTGAAAGTAGAGTCAATCAGTTGTACATCAGCTGTAATCAATCTTCTTCTCTATATCATAGCTGTCGTACATCTGCTGTACATCTGCTTGACAGAGTAATGAATCTTCTATTCCATCATGCCATACTCTATATATTTAAGAGAGGGTATTCAGTCTTCTACAAAATATTTCTTCTATGTTTTCAATACTTTTCCTACTTTTTCCTAATTGTCGTATTAAATTTCAGCTTGAGCTTCGGAGAGTATTTCTTTCTGGGTCATTGCGACATTTGATTTGATGTCGCATCTGGCTGAAGTTCGCTTTTTTTTCTTTTGTCAAACTGCGCATTTGCCTCGAGCTATGCTACGCAGCGCAGCTGGTGGGCGGATCGAATGGGTGGGAGGGGTTGGGTTTGGGTTTGGGGTCACACGATTTGTATTGGATTTGAGCAGAGTTATGCGCAGTTGCCGGCGTCGCTGGATCTGCCCTTTTTGAAGAGCCGCATTTGTTTGGAAATTGGGCAAACATTTGCTGTCAGACTCGGAGCATAGATGCCAACAATTGTTTATGGGCAGCTACTGTAGCTCGCAGCGTAACAATATGTTTATCTGTAAACAAGCCGAATGATTAGATAGAGTCCCTCCCCCCCAAAAAAAAACCCAAGAGTAAAAACGACAACAACAGAAATGCCAACAATTCTGTTGTTGTTGTTGATTTTTGGTTTTAAGTGTTGTTTATACCTTTTCATATATATTTGTTGCCGTACCTTTCCACATAATTTGTTTATAACATTTAATGCAATGACGCCAATGTTTGTTTACACATCAGTCGATTTCTCTCTACGCAGTGGCACATCTCTTGCTTTTTGTTTATAGCCAACTATCGCGCGTGCGAACTGAAAAATCACAAGATCCACAGATATGCCCACATATATATGTATCGAGATATACGTCTGTGGCTCTGTAGCCCAATCTGTTGTCGCCCGCTCTTGTCTTTTTGCGTCAGCTACTTTTTATACCCATTAAAAATGGGTTGCAAGGGTATACGGTTTTTGTGCAGAGGTATGTGACAGGCTGTGAGTAGGTATGTGCATATATTTCTGATCTGGAGAAGGGATTGGGTTGATGTGACTTTATTTTGCCATATCATAGTTTATGTTTTATGTCTTCTCCTTCTATTTTCATAGTATTGATAAATACAGATTTTGAGACATGGCCTTACTCGAAGATTATGAAGAGTAGAGCCTTGCGCCTTGGTATACAGACACATTTGGATGTCTTAATGAAGCCTTGAAAATTTCAGACCATTCGGACTATATAAGCCGAAGTTAATAGAGACTAGGCTTGCCAAAACTAGTGTGAAGGGAAGAAAAAGCCTGCCTGTCTATGTGTGTGTGTTTTATTTTTGTGTTTGCGTAGTAGAAATTTATATTGTATTGCCAAGGGGTATCTGCTAGTCGGTCACTCTCAACTAGATGACTTTTACTTGTTGATAGCCACAAGTTGTCGCTCTTGTTGTCGTTTTGGCCAAACCAATTTGTTGGCCTCTTCGTTCCGTCAGCTGTTGCATGATAAAATATCTAAAAATATAGAAAATAAAATTGTTAAAAAAAAAGACAAAAAGAGCTGCATTGAGCAAACAAAATAACCTTGAACCTGGCCGCGAGGTTGTGCAGCTTTCTGCCAACATATATACACTAATAATATTATCAAGTATATATACATACATATATATATATATATATATATATATATATCAAAAATGTGAAAGCTTTTGTGCAGGCGAGCTCTATGTGCTGCTGTTCTAATAATGAAAGTGCTCGATTGTTTATAGAAAATATTTTGTTATTCATGCTGGCTGCCGAATGGGTTATATAACGCGGGCTAAAGCAGAAATCAATTCAAGAGAATTCAAGCGGAATTTCAGTTAAAGAACTTAAGTTTTATGTGTACTTTTTCTGTTATTATAATTAGAATATATATAAATGCAGTTCTTCATAGTGAGAAGCTCCACTGAACTACAAGCTCGAGGGTTCGAATGCCAGATTAATTTATGATTGTGTTGTAAACTTGTCCGCAATAGACATCCTTTCGACTATATCTGCTTTTATATAAAATGGTTTATAGTAGGAATAGTTATTTGATTTGCCAAGCAGCACTGGTCTAAGATTCGAACCAGCATGCTTCCTATATTTATAAATATTATTAATATTACTTTTCATATCAAACAAAAATCGTTTAAGGGATATATATATAATATATGC